AAAAAAAAAAAAAAAGAAAAAAAAAGAAAAAAAAAAGCCTCTTGGAGGTGGAGAGGGGGAGAAATTATCTTGCAGTCATTGTGACTGCAGGGCACAAACTTTTCACTGCAGTGGCAACAGAAAAGGAGAAGGAGGTCAGGATATCAGACCTACAAGACTGTGAAATATGTTGAGAGACTGAGTACTGAAGTGTGGTGGCACAGCAATTTACATATGCAGGAACAAATATGTTGTGATTTAAATTCTATGTCTAAAGATATGTCCAAGCAGAAATAACAGCATAAGAACTCTTCTATGTTCCTGAGTAGCTAGTGGAAATTTTAGAATACCAAAGCAACAAGATGTAACAAAACCTAATTAGAACTCTGCTTTCAGATACTTTTCAATAATTATAGACTGGATAAGAAATGCTTATTCCTCACCTAACCTTTTTTGATGGATAAGAAGCCCAGAAGCTTCTTTAAGATGTTCTGTCACATGCGAAAGACATTAAATTCCACATTGTTCTTAAAATCTCACCCTGTCTTCTCACAGCCTTTTCTATCTCCATTAATATCCACTCCTCACTATTGGGTTTATCTTTGCTGAAAACTCCCACTGATTATCTTCATTCAAAAATAAATCCATCTGGATGATATTTTGAATGTATCCAAATATTTGGATCTTTCTGCAGTAAAAGGTCATAGAACTGGCAAAAAATTCTTCACTACTTTACACAGGTAGAGAACAGATTTTTAAATGTCTGTAAAGCTTTTCTGATTAAATGGTACCTGAAAATATATCCGAGCTAAATAAGAAAATGTCTAGGTATTTCTCAAATTTTGTAAAACTAGAGAAATAAATACATATGAATATTTGCATGAAAAAATATTTATTTCAAAAAAAATCAAATTTTTGAATGAAAAATCTTTTCATCAAAATAACCAAATCTTTACAATCTTGACAACCATATTTAACCAATCTTTAGCTTGATAACCAGATTCTCTGGCAATAATTCTATCATTAGAAGTTCAAATCTTAGACAAGCTCTGATTGTATCACTTGTGTCTGAAAGATATGCTATTTACTCAACAAAAATCTGGCTGGAGAAAAACCCAGAATCATTTCTCAATGAAAGTCTCATCTTCTATTTATATTCTCCACACAAAAAGTACTGCTAAGTTAAAGTTATGGCTAAAAGAACTTCCTAGGAACATGGGAACATTTTAATTTTTGTCACCTAAGTAATAATAAGAGAACAAAGAGAAAAAAAGAGAAAATTCTGTTAAAAAGGAGAAGACTAAGGACAGAACCTCCATTTCTAACATTTCACAGGACATCTGCAGGAGCCAAAAACTGCTAATGACTTTTAGTGATGTTCTTATCTCAGGTTAACTAACACAATTTATCCCACTGGCATTAAGGTAACAGCAAAAAGAAGACAACTTCTGTTGGCAGGTGGTATTCAACCCCACGTTAGAAAGATGCTACTTATGATTATTTCATGAGCACTTCCACGCCCACCCCCGCCCCCCTGCCCCGCTGCCGTTCATCTCACAGGGATCTGGGCAACACAGCTGACAAAGCAGGAGAATTCTGCTGGTCTTCCAGTCATCCATGGCCTTGTATGTTTGAGAAGTATGCATACTCCCCTTTTATACTGACAAAGGTTTCTTAGATAACCATCTACCTTCTACTTTCTTGCTTTCTCTTCAAGGAAAAGATAAAAATATGTTTTCTGAAATGAAAGTATAGATTTGCATAATTTTTACATAATTGATATTTTCAGCAGTGAGACAACATTTTATGGCACAATAAAACGATTACTGATAAATATTTTACAACTGGATTCCTATACTAGTTTTTAACTTTTTGACTTTTTATTTACTTAAATCAAAACAAAGGGAAAAAAATAGATGACTTTTCAAATTCCATTCTCTCATTTCTGTAATGTTTTAATTCAGCAGCTGTTTGTCCAATCTTTTAAAAATATATTTTTAAAATTGTATCTTGGTCCACACAGTTTAATAATATGACATTTCTGTGGCTGAAGAGCTAAAATAGCCTTCTAATGGGAAAGGAATTGAAATAGCTCTGAAATCAAATCCTGCTGTACTTTCCACAATTATTGGGGTTTTTTTCCTTAAGTAAAATAATTTCTTGAAATAACAGTGACATAATAGCTATATTCAAAAATTAAGCTTACACATAGGAATACAGGAATTCCTATAATTTTATTTGATATTTAAGCATTCTTTCCATTTAGGTATTTCTCCTTATTCATTGGAAAAAGAATATTATTCTTTTTCTCTTTTAATAGAAAAAGAAATCTTTAATATATAAACAAATGAATTTTTTTTTCTCTCACTTCACACCAGTGTAAACTAGGATAATTTCAACAATGTCAAGTAAAACAGCTGCTGGGGAAGTCTAAAGCATAAAATGATTAAGCACTTCGTAACAGGCATGATAGACAGTACATTGCATGACATTAGGTCAAAGTAAAACCTAGAAAAAATATTTACATAAGTTAATCAAATACAACCTTGTCTATGAATAATTTGCTTTTCAGAAATATTTGAACGTGTGAGAATGTCTTCTTTCTATGTAAAATGCCTTTTACTGAAAAACAAGTCCTCCTTCCCATCTTACCCTTCCTTTTGAAAAATCGTAATAGTGCCACAGGGAGATTGTGGCTCAGGTCCTTATAGATTAGCTTCTTTCTGACCAATAGGACACATTCTACTAGTAGACTAAGTCTCCAGTGATGCACCATCATCATTCTTTAAGAATAATAATTACAATGCATGGTAGGAAGCCCCAGGCCAGGGAGCTTATCCCATAAATGGAAAATGGATAAGTGAGTATTTGATCTAAAGGTTCTATGATATATCACCTCTGTAATTTCCAAAGAGAAACATTTTATTTTAATTGTTGAAAAGTCAACATTTTCTTGGCATATAAATCAGCTAATTGTCTCATTAGTATTAAACGGTGGCTGAGAGAAAAATCATGAAAGCAAGTGAGATAGCCAATGTTTTCTATTTTAAAGATTCTCAGAGATCTTCAGGAGCAACACTTCCAGGCATTATGCACTAAAATGGGCTACCAAAGTTAAAATGTCCTGTCCTTCAGGGGTGCTGACACTTGTTATTCCTATTGGCCTGAGTAGGAATTTTGAGCTTATAGCACCTTTGAACATCACATAAGTTTTATTTAAGTAGTTTCTTTTTAGGCACTCGAGTCTGAAGAAAAAAATAATTGGCTATTTAGTGTAATCTTATGAAAGTATGTGTGACTTGCAGCACTTTGAGTTCACATTTTAGAAGCATGTCTGTGCTTAGAAAAGTAGCCTGGAATCTTCCCAAATCAATCTGAAGTGAAAGTTTCATAAAGAACGTAGAATTTAGTAGAAGTGAATTAGCAGAAAAAGAAGTGCAAAGTAATTCTAGAATATCACTAGTGCATAAGTAAGCATTCCCTGTAAATAAGTCACTCATTTATAGAAACAGGATATAAATAAATGATGTTTGAGACTTTTTTCAAATACTTAAGATTTCTTTATATGATATATTTTAGAACAATCCACAGCATCTAAAATATATAAAAATAAATATCTACAGTATTTACAAAGTATGATACAATCCAACCTTTAAAAAGACTTGTAAAGATGTGTTCTTTAGCTCATACTGAGGTAAGTAGGTTTCTGTAAGACTGAGAAGAAATAGGAGAGGCAAACATTTTGAAGGAATCCCTTTGTCCAGATGTTGTAGTCCATAACATGATAAAAGCATGTGCCATTATCTGGTGGTCTTATATGTATTGAGCCAAAGTCATCCTTGCTGTAACTCCATCGAGGTAAGTTTAGTTATGCTAGGGACAAATTTGTCCCACTCTGCATTCTCTGTGTTGCTGGTGTCTTCTGCAGAAGCCCTCACAGCTTCATCTAAATTTGAAGTCATGTTCATCCCTGGTATGTGAAGATGCAGTTCCACTGATTTCAATGGGCTGAGTGTAGCTGGGATACCTGTAAGATAAAATAAGAATTTTAAGATGATTTTACTGTTTGTATCAGGTAGCTGATTTGCTCACCCTGTCATTGTCACTCTCTGAACACTATGCAGGTGATGAGCTATTAACAAAATGGCATGCCAGAAAGTGTTCTAAATTTCACTTGGAAATTTTAAGTGAAGACTTCTTGACTGAAGGCTAAAGGGATTTCTGCTGCATAAACCTTTATTTTCTTACTTTTAAACATTTTTATTGTGTTCTACTACTTATTTAATATGCATTATCTGGTAGATTACACTGTGGTTCCTTATCCAGATGCCACTGCGACCAGCAGAGCACTACAGCTTCCTGTGTACACATCACTCATAGAATCACAGAACAGTTTGCGTTGGATGATACCTTTAAAGACCTCCTAGCCCAACACCCCTGCCACAAGCGCAGCACAGGCAGGGAGAAGAAAATTATGACAAATAATAGATATAGAGTAAAACATAATTTATAGCCACACTGTCAACTGGGTTTCATGGATGTAACCTTGCTTGTGCAATACATACAGGAATGGCAACACTAGTGGAAAAGAAGGAGCTGAATTCAGGGGAAAGAACCCACAATCCTTATATAGTAAGTGAAAAGAACACAGTTCTTCAGAGGTAATTTATTTAATTCTTTTTAGATGTATATTTTAGGCAGATTAGGTGTCCTTGGAGATACCAGTTTCACTGTTATCAGTATATAGTTTATATAGTTCTAGCCTATAGTGACTGAGACAACTTATAGACAACCAACATTCACATTCTAGGAGCAGTCCCTTGCAAAGCCCTGCTGGGATATAACACATAATGTAATGAGAAATATAAAATAATAAATTCTATGCCATTTTTCATCTAGTCACAAAGCTAGGGAATTTCACAATCATTTCAATTTTATCCGGCAGTGGGAAAGCTTGAACAACTTCTGCCTTTCATTTCAGACTGTGTTCATTTGTTTATCAACCTGTACTGGAGAAAAACCAAGAGCAGCTTCCCAGCTGTTCCTAAATACATACAATAACCCACCCAACAGGAAAGAAAAAAAAAAAAAACAACAAAAAAAACCCCACACCAAAACCAAAACAAACCAAAAAAACAATCAGAAAATGTGAGAGAAGTAATTAATGTGAATTTCATATTTAATCAGACCAACTTACACCAGAATCTATGGTAAGCAGATCATTTGGAATAGTCGAGGACATTCAGGTAGTTCATTCTGTACACCCAATTTTGGTTAAAATATTTGTGATAAAATATACCACAGCTTCAGAGAATTATCTCTGAGTAGAATAGCTTTGTATAAACATGTTGCAACTCCAGGGAAAATGATTTTCATACTTTCAGGTACCTGATCTTTATTTACTTAGGAGTCTATAGGAAGTAGGGATCCCAAAGAAAATATTTATATATGTGATTACGTTATCCCTTCTCAATTGCAGCTCAACTTATGAAATAAATGAGATGAAATTTTGTTTCATCAATATATAACCAAAGTTGTAGTATATTCTGTAAAATACTTCTTCGAAGTTACTTTTCTTACATTCAGTTCTTAACTGTAGACAATCTTCTCTCATTGCATTGTGCTCAGATTCAAATATTGTTGCATGCAGAATTAAATTTTACTTCCACAGCATCAACAGACATAGGGATAAGTATACTACCAGTGGGTAATAAGTGCAGTACCATTTGCTGGAAGTGTGTTTATGTTGGTCAATACAATGTGTTCTGAAAGTTTTGAAATGTTATCAAAATTGCTGATCTGGGTGGTCAAGGATTTCCGACTCTCTGTACTGGCACGACCTCTGGTGAGCCGTTCATCATGGTGACTGCGAATGCCAAAGATGCAACAAGAAAATGCTGCTTTAAATTCTTCTCTAAATTTCCCTGTCAACCACAAAAAAGACTCATGAAAAAACTGTACTATAAACTGTGTTTCATCAAACTTTATAGATTAGAAAAAAGAAGCTATCTAAAGCAAAATTAACCCAACACACACAGATATTCTTCTAATGCAGAAGTAGGAAATCACTGTTTCAACATCTTGGAGAAAGACAGAAAAATATAATCTTTATAAGAAGATACGTGAGGCATGGTATGAAGCCTAAATTTACTCTTGGCTAGACAGAATGGATAAACTAGAATGATTTATGAAATCGTGCCATGGATAATCTGTTGATTAATAACATATCTAATAAAAACAAGTAACTGAGTAATTGTAGGCTTAAATGGCTGAATCATTACTTGACATGTGAAATGAGAAGGCATGGCTAATTTGTATTTCATCTTGAATACATTTTAAAAAAAGATTTAACGTGTTTGACAGCCCATTAGTCTGCTGTTGGGGCTCATTAAATTGTTCACATCATCCTCACACTACACACCACAAAAAAACTATAGTGGGCAAATGTGTAGTGAGGATCAATAGACTTTTGCCTCCTATATTTAGCTGTGCTATCACCAGTTTAAGTCCTGATTCTGCTGTCCATAGCTAAATAAGAAAAATACAAACTAAGACAAATATATACTAGTAAGTAAACAGCATCCTGGCTAGTTCTTTGGCCTTAAATCCAGTTGATACAGTCTGGTCATGCAAGTACTATTAAAAGACTCGCAGCTTCCAAACCCCAATATCTGCATATAAAATACCAACTGGGGCCAGCCCCTGGCCTATGCTACCTCCCAGACAGTATCCGGGGAGCGTTTAGGGGAATGGTAATTGTTTCAGATTAAAGTCATGCCAGAGACTTCTCTACCAAATTAATGGTATGGACAGTCAAATCCAGGCACTTGGATTCAGGCCCTGGCACGGTTTAGTTGTAGGTAGATAGTCTGAAGGTAAGAGGATACTTGTTCCAAGAAGAGGATCTATCTCCCACTGGAGGAGCTGGGCTGATGTTACACAGTCATTAATCTTACTTGTTATGGCTCATTACATTCAAACTATACATTAAACTTGAATTCTAGGTAACTGTAACTCACCACTGAGGAAGTTATAAATAATAGGATTGGCTGCACTGTTTGCATACACAAGCCAGTGTGAGAACGTGAACCAGGCGTATACAGTTTCTCTGTCATCGGCATGATTAAACATCCCAAAAACCCTACAGAAAAAGAAAAGCAAGCCTGAAAGACGGCAACATGAGAAATCATATAAAAAGATTTGGCAACATCTAGCCTAATTTTATCTCTGATGGACTATTTGCAGTATCACAGAAAAGCTGATTCAACAGTCTTTACTTTCTTGAGAATTAAGTCTTCTCCCCATCCCTCAGCCTGCTGTCTTGGTGGTTTAGCACAACAGAGACCATCAGTACTTTACTTTGCAATGGTGCAGATGCATGATTTTTCTGCTAAGTAACCAAAGTCAGCTGGTGTCAGATAAGACATGAGAAGATGGGAAAAGTTGCTCTTGACTTATTCATGCCATTGAGGTTCCCAGCTCTAGGGCCACTCTCCAATAAACAGGGGATCTGGAATTGAACAGCACTGAACTGGTCCAAAGAGGCCACAGTAGCAGCTTCTGTCCTCCAGAGAAATCTGCTTTTCCCAGATTCCTTACACCTAACTTTTGATATTTAAGTGAAATTCTAACTATGGGCCTACTCTGCTCTTGTAGTCAAGGCAGTTTGTGTAGTTCCCCTGTGGCTCAGATTGTAGGTTGCCTGAACTGCCTTCTGGGAATACATTCCTCTCCACATTGCCTACCAAGGGATTTAAGGATGATAAGTACTTCAATCAGGCCTCAGAAAAGTGCCAGAATTGAGTGGGATGCATTTAAGCCTTCATATCCAACTTGAAACTATTCATTAAAAAATAAAATGTTCCTCAAACACCAATAACAGGCTGGTTATTTTTTGGGATATTCAAATCTTCTGCTATATGTCATTATTTATCGGTATTCCAGAGGGCTCACGATAACTATACCAAAGCTTTAGCCTGTCAGGCATGGTACAAAAAGAAGTGTATACACAATTATGTCTCAAATGAACAGGAGAAGAAAGAGTAAAAAAGTAAAACATAGTTTCCTAGGCAAACTGAACAGTTAGGCCAAGGTCTCAAAATTGTACATGATGGGGCTTGGGTTTGAACCCAGCATTTCACAGTCCTCGGGGAAAAAAACACAACACTACACTCTCCTGTTAACCTTCAGCTGTTGCTTTAGGTAAATGCACTTCCATGGGGGCATTTACAGTAAACAAACTGTAATCCCATGTAAATGACAGGTTTTAATGAGGAGATAGGCTAGATCATTTTCATGAGGAAAAGTTTGCCAATAAGGGTTCCACAATCTGGCCTTTAGTTTAAGTGGTACAGATAGGTTTTTCTTGCAACTCTATGATTTTTTTTTTCCATTTCTTTTGTGAAATAAGTACTCTTATCCTTCAAAAGTATCTGCCACAATAACAGGAATCTCGTAACAGAAAATTGGGTTTAGAGAGAAAGCTTTACCAAGTGTTTACATTTGGGGATATAATTTACCTTTTCAAGACATTGAGGATGCTAATTGGCAGATAGCAAAGTGCAAAAACCAGGAGGACAACCATTAGCATACGTGCTGTTTTTCTTCTTGCACGAATCTGTTTTATTTCAGCTGCCACAGCACTAATCTTTGATTTTGTTGATTGTCCCAGACCTCGGGGCTGTGCTGAGGACTGCAGAGGCTTCCATTTTTTCTGAACAACAGATGAAGTTCCTGGGATCTAAGAAGACAAAATAAGGGGCACTTTTAAAAACTAGCACTGTGGGTAGCTATAAGAAGAAAAATAGACATGTTGACATACACAATGTAAGCTTGCATGGAGAAGTAGTTTCTTTTACTAAATTAATTAATGTAGCTGCAAGAAACAAACTGAATTTCAGACAGAAAAGATTGAATAAAAAATTGTGTTTAACCAAATATATCAACTGATGTATTAAAATTTTCTTTACTTTTCACATATCTTGCCTTGCTTGTATCTTTAGACTATCCCACTTACCAACTCTATTGCTGCAATTATGTTGCTATGAAGTTCTATAGTAAATGTTTTACTGCATGGCAGAGTAGTTTTCCCCATTAATATGTTGCTAATTTAAGATACTAAACAACTTTTCAGCATTGGAAGACAAGGATTTAAAGGCTACATAGTTTTAAGTGCCACAGAACTTCCAAATATGCAATCTAGATGACAATGAAGCAGCTAAAGAAATCACAGCTGAAGTGTGAATCTCCCTGCAAAGATCTTCAAAACTCAATGTTTATACTGTGATGAATAGAGAAGAAATATGGAAGAGTGCCAAGACATAGGAAGAATTAGGTTAGTCAGACACCTTGAAATGGGTAGATGTAGCACCATAAAAAAAAAAAAAAAAATCTTGGTTTTTGTTTTCTGTGCCCTCACATAAGCCAAGACAAATAAAGCAATTTTGTTGCAGTCCTTCGAAATTATTTATTGCCTGTAGCCAAATGTGAAAGAATACAGATGGCAAGGACTTTCTCAGATAACTTTATTACAATGACATTTATAATGTTTTCAATGTTATACATTATGAAAACCTTTTGGGTAGAGATAGAACTTTATTCATGTGTAGTGCAATTGTCTGTGGGGTGAATGAGTGCAAAATAATCCATTTGTAAAAGTATCTGAAAAATTTAAATTGTCTATTGTAACATTTTAAAAATTAAGGTTTATCCACACAAACTGACAGAAAAGGATTAAATATTTGAAAAAAGCAAGCTAAAATGGGAATGCTTATTCTAAAATAAATGCATGCACGTTCAGAATTGTTCTTTTTTTTTTTTTTTTTTTTTTTTTTTTTTTTTTTTTGGTGAATAGCTTCCTTGCACAGACAAGCCTATAATTTAGCATTTATGTGCACCATCAAACCTGATTTACAACTATTGGAATGTTTTGGCAAAGTTGTGTTGTAATGAGCAGGAAATCAATGAAGCAGAATGGGGGATACAGTCTAACATTTATTTTTTACTAATATGTCTAAGGACCTAAAGCAAAAAACCTCCTTGCACTTACTTCTACTTCGGGTTCCCACTCATTCAGCTGAGATCAGCAGTATCAGTTTCCTACATGGACATGTTTGTCCTACTGCAAGGGATTTACCCTACTTAGCTTGGGGTGTACTCCTGCAATGTGTCTTTGTGATGCACTACTGAGATAATATGCTGTCTAAGGTTCTGACTCTGGTTTATCAGGGTACTTTGATATTCTGTTCTTCTAACTTTGAAGCAGAAGCTTCTCTCCTTTTCAGTCATACTGAGTTACCATATTGTAGCAAGAACTGAAGGTGGAAGTAGAGAAATTCAGACAAATCTCTCCTCCTGATTATGCCAAAGATTCACTTGAAGAAATCAGTGACCAGGTTTCATGGTAGCTAGATGCAATTTAGATGAAGACAAACATTATCTTGTTTCAAAATTGTGAACAGCTATTTCTACAGAAGTGTTAGACATGACTGTGTACATAGCTTGTACCTGCGTGTGCAAGTAAAATGGTCTTTTCTGGCATTTAGGCAGTTTTTAATAGCAAGAGGTGATCAAAGGCACTGTATACAATGTATAATCTCACTGTACTATATATTAAATTAAATTGCTAATTCTTCAGGAGTTTGTACTGAGAACTTTTCTAAAGAGCCCTATTTTCCTTTGTTACCATTACACCAATAATAAAGCAAGAATTTTATCAGGAAAAAAAAAAAAAAGAACTATATACCTACAGATACATAGATGAACCAGTATCATGTAAGAAGAATAACACTTTAGAAGTGTGTGTGTGTATACAGAAACACTTACAAATATGCATTTATGAAAACACACATACATGTATTACAAGTGATAGGTCGAGAGTAAATGGCCTCAAGTTGTGCTAGGGGAGGTTTAGATTGGATATTAGGAAAAAATTTTTCACTGAATAGGTTATCAAGCCATTAGGAAGTCGTTAAGTCACCACCCCTGGAGATATTTAAAAGATGTGTAGATGTGGTGCTTAGGGACATGGTTTAATGGTGGATTTGGCAGTGTTAGGTTTACAGCTAGACTCAATGACCTTAAGGATCTTTTCTAACCTAAATGGTTCTATGCTTAAGTATGTACAAGTATACACATGCCAGCATAATGCATACATTTGCTTTTTAGTAACAAATCAGTTATAGAGATAATTGTGGACAATTTGTGTAATTCCAATGATTCACTAAAAGCCCATTAGCTGTGTCCAAACAGGTACTAAAAGCTGCAGTTACTTTCTTATACACCTTTCCTCTATCTCCTCAAATTATTATCAAGGGTAAATCTCTCCAAATGTAATAACTTCCAAAGATTGGAAGGGTACATTTCATCTGCCAAGATGAAAAGAGGTAGGGCTCCTAGTTATTAGTATTAATAGACTTTTTTGTCAATACATTTGGACATCAGTAAATCGAAGCATACAGTATGGAACTTAATAAAAATTATGTATCAACACTTTCATCATAAGTCCATTCAGTTCTAGATATATATTTGTTCAAAAGTTACTTTTAATCTACTTAAAATCTGCAAGAGAACATAGACTTCTAAGTCACTACTTCCTTGCTAATAATGAAAATAAATTACTCAAAATCACTGGTATTTGTGGCATGATTGTTCTTGTCTTTACAAATATGAATAATGATTTCAAACACTGTACAGATATATTCAAAGATCTGCTTGAAAGACACAATCAGTAACTTTAAGAGCTATTGCACAAGTACGGTAAGGATAGCTTGTAAATCTGTCTCACCTTCAGTCATCTGAAACTTTGTATGTACAACACACTCCATTTTAAAAAAGAACCTTCAGAAAAAGTATAAGGCATAGACAGCATCTGTTAGCTGTGCTTTTTTCTATCTTCGATCTGGAAGGCTTATTGTATCTTGCAATAGATTCACTATATTTAACTGAAGTTCTGGTAAACAGCATGATTTCTTAATTGAAACTATTATCAAATAATACATTTAGACCACTGTATTCATTTGCTCTGCATGGCTGATTATGGCACACCTGTTGCACTTAGAAAAATGCCTGATGTCTACAGCCAAGTCACAGTTGATAACAGATAGGCAGTGGTTTTAATTTCACTTAGTGCAGTCTCTTACACATAGTGCTATCATCTACGCTAGGAAAAGAGACATCTGTATTTTCGCATTATTGATAGCACTAAGCCTGTAGCAGTATTTGTCTTTTTGCCACTGGGAAAAAAAGGGATCATCCTAACCTTGTCAGCATGCAAGATGTATAGGGAGAAGAAATATTGTGAAGAAGAAATCATCCCGTTAATGCAGTTGGGGGGAAAAACCCCAACAAAACAGGATGGTTTGCTTCCAATCATTCAACTTCTGCTCTGAATCTGAACCAGAATTTTCAAGCTATGTACAGGTTAAGGACAATTTATTTGCATTAACTTCATGGAGTGTGAGAGAATAGGTAGATTGTAAAGAAAGCACAGAAGAGAAAGCTAAGAAGGAACGTGATGATAAGGTCATTGGGTGCTACAGGACAGATAACTATTCATCAATGCAGAGCATCTCAGAGCTATGTTAGACTGACCTTAATGTCAAAACTAACAGACCAAAGCCTTTGTTCTGGTGAAGAGTCTCCTCAAATTGTAAAGGTTAAATTTCACCTTCAAACTACCTTATTATTTAATCTTATAAATGTAAGAAATGAGAAGCAAAAATAATAATTTAAAGATAAACATCAAGATAAACTGCAACTCTGGTTTAACCTAACTTGATTAGAAGTGAGAGTAATTACTGTTAAGATGTATGGATGATAATAAAATGCCTTAAAGTGGATTTGTTTTTTTCCTGTATTTTGTTTATTTGCAAAAGGTATGTTTTGTCAGTATAAGATTTGACTTTTACCATGTATATTTAGAAATCTAAAGTCTACTTGTGACTTCTCTGATGGATCAATTTGAGCTGCATGAAAAATGCTCCTGATGTGGCAGATATTATGCCTTGGACAAGAAAGTCTCAAATTTGGATGGTATCAGACGTAACAGTTAGAGAGAAATGATTCATGCCCATATCATGATGGAAATGTCCTTGTTAGAGCCATTTGAGAGGACAGGAGAGAGAGTATCTAGCATCATGTCTTCAATGGGATGAGTTTATAAATCCCAGACAGCATAAGACAGCAGAAAGAACCACAGACTGATGCACGACAGTCTACAGTTCACACCCAGAAAATGATTCTCAAGCTGGTACCACTTCAAAATCTTGGAGGGGGAAAAATGTTCCTGAAAAAACCCACATAATTTTTGCAAATTCAATTCAAACGTTCTTTGTGTGCTTGCTTGCTTGTGTTTTTTTCTTTAGTATTTGCTGTATTTTTAATTTGAAGCTTGAAAAAACAGATGTTCACATGAGAAATCATACCAATTATATGTCAATAATTCATATCAAATGTTACTGATAACAACCCACTTCACATCAGGCAATTCCAGTCTCCAGTTCTGATAGGTGACTTTCTAGTCTAACTTTTGTTTAGATTGGATCTGCTATGAACCCGAGTCTTGGTAGAATGAAAAATGAAAATGAAAACTTGTATAAACTACTAACAAAACAATAAATTCAATCCTAACTTTTGACTGCTACAAGAGATTTTAGTGGTATAACTAAGGTCATCTAAGGTATTTTAATAAGCATTTCAGATACAATGGGAGAGATCTTTCTTCTGCCTATAATCAATCCTTCTGTTGACTTCTCTCTCTCCCTCTAAGCCTTTCAAAGACATGAGCAAGGAGTTTACATTCAGCCTGACTGCCTTCATTTTTTAATGTGTCTTAGTGCCTATCCAAGGTGGCCGTAAGCCAGCAGTGTTACCTGAACCTGGTAACAGTGCTGCATGTAAAAATCCAAGCCCTAGGTGACAACATGGAGCGTATAGAGAAGGTTGTACACAGGAATCTGCACACAGTCACAACAGCAAGCAAATAATGTTAAATGACTTACCTGGCGACACCACAGCTTTCGAAATATTTGCAAATAGGCCAACACCATAAGACACAGTGGGGCCATGTATGTCACCAAAAAAAAGCATGTGTGATACATTTTGGGGTAAACCTCAGCTGGAAAGAGAATTCAAAAAGGAAAAGTGCATTTAAATATGCATACGTTTCAAATTTTAAGCCAAATTATTCATATAGATATGCATGTGTTTTTCAAACATAATAGGTTATAATGGAAGATGTATCCAATAATATTATGGTGAGGACTGATTTTTTAAAGACTTCTATATACATTCTGTTTCCATTATAAACACTCTTTTATCTCAAGCATCTCTTGTACCATATTACTGCTTTCATATCACATTATTACTTTAGGTATGAAGCTTTAAGAAGTTTTGCTTTTTATTAAATCAGTGAAAGATAGAAAATTTCATTATCTAACACCAGCTAATTATCCAACCTACCTAATCTTTGACGTATTTAACAGATTGCTTAACTGTCTTTAGTTTCAATTCTGCAAAGGCTACTACATATCTCTGAGTAAATTGAAGTCTCTCACCTACAGAGAATGTAGACTAGAGCACATGGGATGCTGATGAGGGGAGAGTTTGGTATTACCAAATGTTGCTGTGAATTACAACTTAACATTTATGGATGGCCTCAGAAAAGGCATGAATATTATGAAGAGAAACTGCACTCTGTGAGTTAGATTGCACAGTAATCCTAAGCACTGTAATTTGGCTAAAGAAGGAATGTTTATGTTAAAATCCAGAACTTCCAAACGCTTCAGGATGATAAGATCTGCAACTGAAACTAAAAAAAAAAAAAAAAAAAAAAAAGAAAAAAGAAAAAGTAGCATGAGATCAAAACATTGGTGAGTCAAACATTTTCTGCTTCTTAAAGTGACTGAGACTGTGGACCCTATTAAACAAGAGGTACCTTTTCATGCCAGGAGAAACCCCAAGAGTTTGATTAGACAAGGAGATATAAAGACTTAACCCATAGCTCTCATATCAGGAAGGAGTACACCATCAAGTTAACTCCAGTCTCACACTCAAACCCAGACTGAGTAATACCACACTCGGTGCTGGGCAGGAAAGTGACAGCTGGTTCACCAGTCAGAAAAACTTCAGTATTTCAGTATTCAGAAACTTGCTATACCAAAATCCAGCCCATGTTCATTGGTAGCAAAGGGAATAGAGACATTGCCATTGACATCTGACAGCTTTGATGGATCAGGGTTCAAAAAATTCAGATGAGCAGCATTTGGCTCCTTACTTGCTCTAAGATCCTGTAGAAAACCAGCTTACCAACTCTTTAACTAGCAGCTGTAGCTACTAGCTCTTGTCAATGTCCCTGGGGGAGTCAGACCATTTGGGGCAGATTTTTTATAAATGGTGATAACCTGGGTTTGTATATTGACTGATGATCTCAAATGTGGTTTTGCATTCCAGAAAATGCAGCCTCGCAGCAGTCCTGTCAGACAGGGAAATACCGACATACGTGCTTCACAGGTGGAGAGATTAAGGAGAAACTGGAGTAACATGATTTACTGGGATCGTGGGAGGTCAGAGCTGAAAGTACATTCTTTCTGCTCAGAAGGAGGTGCCACCTGCCTCATCTATGCTCTGCAGGCAGCCAGGCCCCTTTCAGGTAGAAGGACAGTACATATTTAAAAGGCCATCTGGAGTTTATGGCTTCCAATTTAGCATTCCAAGTAAAGCGAAATGTTACATGAGCCTAGCTATCTACAAAGAACTGACTGACCAGGTTGGAGGAAGATCCTAACACTTCCCTTTGAAGTTTAACCACCTGGAAAGTGCCAGCTGCTAAACATCAAAGGAAACCTGTCCCTCCTCCACTCAGGGCAAAGCCTTTTGTAGAACACTTCCCTAAGAAGCATGACTCTGTTTAGCTTCTCAAGCCAAAGAAAAGCTTTAAAGCTGTTTGACAATCACAGCAACAAGAAGGAGGAAGGGCTGGTTTGGGACACTGTTCATTTATCAAGTGAGTGAGTTCCAGGCTCCTTGAATTCAAACATCAATCAGTCCATGGTCCTGGTGATATATCCAGCTGCCTTACTGGGACTGCTGAACCTCTTATTGCCAAGCAGAAGAGGGGAAAAGTGTCTTTGCCTTCCATGGCCACTTAAGGGGCTTCAAGACAGGGGGAGGTCACCCTTAGCTGAAGTAATTGTCTCTTTAAGAAGAAATTAATGATTCTCACATCACTGGCTGCTATTTTACTGAAAAGAGAGAAGGGGACAAAAACCAAAAATGGGGGATTGGACTGGGGTGAAATCGATGTTCCTACTCAGCACCAGTCATAGTACAATTATACCACCTGATAAAGGATCGGTATGCTACAACAAGCCTTATTCTGTCTACTGGAGGCGTTATTAAACAAATTTTAAACTTTTCTAAATCTTCTTCCTCAGCACTGTGTTCCAGTCCCAGACTATTGTTCAATGAAGCACGAAGGTTGAAGACTGAAGCTACAGCTTCTGGATTTTGGACACAATTTGACTATATTTGTGTAAATATATATATATACATACATGTATACACATAGATATGTATACAAACCGAAAACAACCCAGACTCAAAAGGTTTTGATATGTCTAGCAAATTAAATATTCCCTTAAGCCATAGGTGCATAATGAAATAGGCACTCTTGATAGCTTCCCTACGAACAGGGAAAAACAAAAAGACTATCAAGTTTGTTAAGCATCAGTAGAGAGTTTCCAGGTTCCTTATTCTCAGGAAGATACCTATGAGGTTTTGGAGTTACCAACATGAAGAAACAATGCAGCTAGAAGAGTATAATTTTAGAATAAAGCTTAATAAATTGGGATGTTAGGCAGTGGGTGCCCATAGTAGAGAAGATTCCACCACACAACACAATCCTTTCCAAGCTATGTGCCTATGTCAGAGTTCTTAAAGTTAGCTACTAGTAAAATTATCTTTTCAAACCTGATATATTATGCTTATCAACTCACAATAACATCAAGCACAATTTTAGTATTAGCAATATTCTGACTTCTTTGTGCATTAAAATGTCCCACAAGTTCTTCCTTAAATTTTGAACATTTTGATAAACACGATGTATAAGCCTTCATGTAAAAATGCAATTTCCAGCTTTTTGTTTCCCAGAATTAAGACAATATGTTTTGTACTATTTTATGAGTAGTCTAAGAGGAAATGTAACACAAAGTCTTCCCTTTGTTTCCATTCAACCATGTAGTTTTGGGAAAAGATTATCTCAATTTTTTATTTTTTTTTTTTTTTTTTATCATTTGCAAAGGGTTTGGCTAATGCACTTTGGCTAACACTCATTTTGAGAGCAGCTATATGAGAATGTATTTAGCTGACTTCAACACATGGTGAACTCATTTTAATATATGTTTCTTTTATTTTGGCGCTTTATCATCAAATTCAGCACATAGTAATTACAGACTATTATAGAACTGTGGCCAACACTGGCTCCTTAAGTGAGTCCGCATAGATCACATGTTGGATCCTTCTGCATTCCCAAATAAAATATTGTTATTAGACAGTACTCAAAATGAAAAACCCTCAGCCTAGAATTGGCAATGAATTTTATGTTCAGGAATGCCAGAAGCAATTAAAAAGAAATTGAGCCCTGTTTTAGGCCTAACTATTGCTCCATTTGCAGTCACTGGCAGCTCTCCAACAGCATGTTTGAAATCTTATTAGTCAGGGTGGCCACTATTTGTTCACCATTAAGAAGCCCAAGTGTCACAGTGCTGATCAGACCTTCCTTCCAGAGACTCATCAGACTTGTATGGATTTCAGCAGCTGGACCTAAGTCTGGGTAAGGGCACAGTGCTGTCTCCTGCTTTGGCATCTCTGACATTTTCCTGGACGCAGCTTCCCGTTAGTCCTCCATAGCACCTCATGTTTCAGTGGCTCTGAGTTCCCAGAATTAGAATAGACTTCCAAAACACTTTGGAAAGTTTTATTAAGCACCCCCTTTTTGCAGTCCGAACCTTGAAAATTCGCAGTTTAACATCCTTGGGACACAGAGTGTAGATGATGCTCTGCAAAGATTTCATCAGACATACCCTAAGTTTAGACTGCATTAATTATATGCAGTTCTAAACAAGCAGTAAACACCCAAGTACAACCCCTTTCCTCTAAACTGACTCTTCTATAGAATTTGCTTAGGATCTCTTGAGTGTGTGCAATTATCTACATCTCCACTTTTTCTTTGCAAATATAGCTTATTTATAGGAACATGAATTTCTTTCTCCTTCAGCCTCCTCCTAGGTAGGTTTCTTTGACCCTCAATCCTCCCATAGTCACAAAAGGAAAAATGGTACCCAGCAAAAATGCAAATATTTTATTTGAAAATATTAGCTCTTGATTGCTCCTTCTGACCTCAAGGCTCACCAGTCTTTTAAAACTGCTGCCCTGTTATCCTTGTTCTTTTGTTCTTCTGTTTGGGGGTCATTTGTGATTTTAATCTCTGGTTTTCAGTAGAAAAACTGCATCTTCTGTGTTTTCACCCAACTCAGTGTTCTTAGACATTTTCAATTGAATGGAAATTATTTGTAGCTAATGACACTCCATTCTCTATAGCCTGAAAGGGATGTTAAGGTTTATATATCCTCATTGATGATATATGGTTTATACATTTACTAAGTATTTCCATGATTTGAGCAACCTACTTGTAACAACACAAGAAAGATTATTCTCTCAGTTTACTATGATAAGCTATTATTAGAAAGTGGAGGGGATTATATTTTATAGATAGCTGAAATGCACCAGCAGAATAACTAGCAATGTTGGTGCATTATGATTAGAAGAATAATTCATTAGAAAGGCATCAGGGTAAAAATAGGATTGATATATTTCAGTGGAATGAAAATCTTCCCATTTCAGAAAAGTTTAATGTAAAATTATTTACATTTCATGCTCAGCATAAATTAACAGAAACCAAAATAATTTTGGAGTGTTTGCACTTCATTTCTGAAGCCACACACAAAAAGAATTTAATTCTATGTACAAGTACTTGCCTTTGTTATACTCCTTTCTACCTCTCCAGACATCCAAGTGAAGGCTCACAGCATAACCTGAAGATGAATAGATTCCATTTTGGACAAATACACTCTGTAGGAGTAGAGTCTCACAAACACATGTGGTAGCTGTTTTTCTTTTGTATAATGGGTGATTCAGCTCAGGCATATCTGTGGGCTGCAACTACTTCATCACAGCACTGAGCAAGAGGCACTCTTTAAAATAGTTCCGAGGCTACTATGGACCCTGTAGTTCAAAAGCAACGCTTTCCGGTTGGGAATCAAAAAGTGGCCAATGCAGATCTGGAAATTTTGAGATTACTTTCCCTGATGAAATGCTCTCTTGATTCCCTACTGAATTAAACACATAATTTTAATTTCCCGATTTGATTAAAAGAATCTTTGCTGCAGATCTAACCTTGAAGTGATGAAGGCAAGGATAATTAGGTCTGCAGCCAAAATTAGTGGACACAAAATGTACTTGGAGTGAATGCCGTGAAAGAAAATAGTCACATAAATACTGCAGCGTCCAGCAGCAGACTGGGATACAAAATTGTTCACAGATGAAGAAAGAACACTAGAAGTAAAGAGCAGATGTATCCTCTCCAATGAAACAGCAAATATGATACTCACAGCTTAACAGAGGCTTCCTACAAATTTACAGCACATCTTTGTCTGCAATGAGAGCCAGCTACTTAACGGCCATCTCTGCCCCCTTGCCTTGTCCCAGAGGACTAGCTGGGATGAAGGAGATAAAAAACAGGAATGTGATAGCCAATGTCTTCTCACTGATCCCCTGGTGGCCCTGTGGAGGCTGTTACCAGGGGAGGGACTTCCAAAACAGCACACAGAAGAACCCTCAGCAGTTCATGCTGCTTAAGCTAATTTATCATGATAATTAAGTACAGGTGATCCAGTTCTATTTCATCTTAATTGTTCACAGAACTGGAATCTTCTGCAGATACAGCTCTGAGAGAGAATCTGATTGTGTTTTAGTCTGATTCAAGGCTATTAAACAGGCACCTTTTAGTTGTATGTTTTGGCAAACTTGGCTTTATTTTCCCTTGTGTGAATAATGGTATTACTAATGGTCATTATATCCAGTGTCAGAGTCACAGCATGTAACTCATACGCTCTATTAGCACTGGAGTTATGCCAGGGCCCACCAGAGTCGAGTTGTAACCATTCGGGTGGGTGGCTAACACCACTTGCTGTGAATGGAGAGACAAAATAGAAGCAGTTACTCCCTGGCAACCCTTATGGCTTCTTAAAGCTGAATTCAAATACAGAAGAAGTAGATTAAAATTAATCTGGAAAGGCAGAACTACACTTCATGAATAGAATAATTTGTAACTGATTATGTTTACAGAGTTATTTAATTGATCTCGTCCATGACAAATTTCAAATTGTAGGTTGAATTGCTCCACCGTATCAATAACATCTCTATAAATTGTGATGACATGCATTTTGAATTGAAGTCCCAGGAGGTATCTATAAAGGCTAGTCAAGTATCAGCAATTAGCAAAAGCAATATAACAGGTAAACAGAAATTCTGTTCTCGTGTAGTTAATTCCTAAGGCTAAATACTGAAGTCTTTGTAAACCTGCAATGTTCATCGAATTATCAAGCATAAGCATTTAAGGGTGGGAACATTTTTACCCCCTGGGAAACATTAACATGGTTAAGACAAAACCTGCCTCATTCTTCTAAACTTGGTTTCAAATGTACTTTTAAGTTTTAGCAATACAAAAGAAAATAGGATTTCACAGTATTTGTAAAACAGTAGTTCTAAGAAAGCTTATACAATTAAGAACACTTTGTGATATGTTTATACAACCTGACTGCATATTAATAATGTCCTCATATTTTTATTACATAACAGCAGTAGAAATTCAGCCTTTATGGTTAATGACACACTCACCTCCCCAGTGCTCATCACATACTGTGAACAAGGTGGTTTTATTGGCTAATCCTGGGAACACACTGCTGCACTCCATAACAATAGCCTGAGGAATCATTATGATGCAGGACACAATCCAGATAATTATAATGCTGTTCCTTGCTCGCTTGGCTGTGCTTTTAAACATCAAAGGGTGACAAATTGCATACCATCGATCCAAAGCAATGCAGCTAAGTGTTAGTACAGACACAGAGACTGAAACTGTCTAAAGAAAAGGAAATATGTAAAAGTAAATGCAAAATAAATGTTTGGGGTTTTTTTTCAGAGCTTTAGAAATGATTTATTGTAATTTTCCAGAGTTTAAAAAAATATTTCTATTTTGAACACAGCTCTTTATCTGCAATTATTAAATAGAAATTATTCCCAGGAAAAGACTTCTTTTAAAATCACTTCTTACAGAATTACAATAGATACCCTCATCTGCTGTAGTCCCACTAGAATCAACAGGACAATTCACAGATTAGGGTGCTACCCAAACTGAATAGGTGTAGCAGGGTCAGATTTTGAAAGACCAAATTTATGCAACTTAGAATTTGCAAAATTTTATCTGAGAAACTACTTTTAAAACATTAGACAACTAATTAGATCCTTTTTTCTTTGTAGAACAACTTTGTTTTCTATGCTGTATTTGGATACCAGTATCATCACTTTGCCTTTTTAGTTTTGGCAGGACTCATTAAAAAACCCCAACCAATCAGCTTAAGGCAGACTAAGTCATTTTACCTTCTATTCAGCATAGGGAAATCCTATCACTTTGGTTTTATTCTTTTACTCTCTATACTGGGTGATCACTTCACTTTTGCTTTAGATTTTCTTCCACTAGAATGGAAGCTTTGAAACAAGTTTTGTGATTTTGAGTCTATTGAGTAGATGACAATGCAGTTCTTCAGCCATACAGGTATCTGCTCAAAATATAAAATGTGCTGGAGCACAGAGCTGATCACCTGCATACATTCAGAGCTCTACTGAATTCTTATGATTTATGACTGAAAGGCCAAGCACTTGTCATTCTAGTATGCCCAGTCACTTAACCTAACCAACCATTTGAATACCAGAAAAGGTATTTGTCAAACATTTTGATGCAAATGATCTCATAACTAATTCAGTCCACTGGTAAATGTGTGGTGGCAGTTATTGCTTAAGGCAGACGATCTGATCAGCTCGCAGTGAACTTGGATACTTTGACTATTTCTAAAGAATGTAAAGTCACTAAACACATATGAAAGCCCAGACTCCCTTCAGAAGTTCGGATTCTCTGTCCTGAACACTTGCGTGGCTGTTTAGGTCCACACACACACAGAGTATAAAGGACTGTAATTCTATTTAGAGACATTTTTATTTCTTTATATCCATTCTGAATTATTAAGAAAGATCACAAAAAGTGAAGAGCATCAGACAAATGTTCCAGAAAGTGTATTGCCCAAGTCTAACAATCAGATGGACTAAGAACAATATTTATTAAGCATAAACATATTCATAAGTGGAACAGTCCTTTAACCCTCAGCATGTACATTGAGATATCTATGGGATATCTATGGGATATTCCATCAGATTATCACTATTAGGAAGATGCTATTGCTCTTTCTGTTTTTTTGTAACATGGATAATGTGTACACAAACACAGTAAAACTATACCTGTAAGTAGGGAATCACTTTGCAGAGGGGCTGCCCAAAGAACCATGTTTCTGTGATGTCCACTACTAAAGTTGCTGGAAGACAAGTAATTGTGACCAGAATGTCAGCCAGAGAAAGATTCACTATGAAATAGTTGGTAACTGTCCTCATGTGATGATTCTTCCACACTGCAATGCAAACTGAATTTGGAAAGAAAAGTTAGTGAGATGGAAATGACTTCGGGAAGTATTCCATAGGAAAACACTGGCCTTTGCAGAGTTAAGGAAATGTTCGTGTCCTTTGTTTAACACAGAATATTTGAATATGTAGTTCAGTGTAATAACCATATGTTATCTTTTACAGGGGAAATAAGAAGGTACATGTAGAGAGAATCCTAGCACACAAAGAATAGTTTTTCCACAGACCACAGCATGGGCAATAATCTGATACATAAAGCAGCTTGCTTTCCTGCTAGTTTATCTTCACTACCTATTGACACAATTTCCTTCATGTCTGTTTTAATTCACTGGCTCTAGCCTATGGCAATACAAATCTACATTTGTAAAAGTTTATGTATTTTTTATAATCGTGTGATGCTTAATTCAAATTGCTGCCACACAGAATCTTGCAAACCGTAGCAAGACAACAAAAATTTTATAAAATATTTTGCTGGGCAAAATGCATTTGATGATGCTTACTGTGATCAAAAGCAGCATGTAGCAGACTTTACAAGATGTGCCTTTAAAGCTTGTTTTCTATCTTTTCCCTCTTTTTCAATTTGAAAAGCTTTTAGAAATAAGGCAAATCAGTTCTTTAACATGGTTGCATTAAATTCATAGCTTAGACATTAAAATTGCCACAACTGAGTCTGAGAAAATAGCCTAAAAATAAGTTTTTTAATAACTTTGTTATAAACTAAAACCCTGAGGGATTGTATCAATAGCTTTTGAAAGTTTTCTACTGAGTCACCAAAAACTCTTTTAAAACTGATGCACAAGATTTTCCAGAAGTACCACAGTATTTCTTGTTACAAAACAGTACAACATACTGTACATCAAAGGTTCATCTCCTGTAAACAATTCACCATGCAAATCCGGACAAAGATTCAAAGTCTCCTTAATCTGTCAGGATATAAGCACTATGCTTAATTTAGATATATTAAACAGATCACAGAATGATAAAGAATAGAATTAGAAGGGTCCTCAAGAGTTGTCCAAATCTAAAATGGAATCAGGTAGAGTTAAGCCATTCTCTTATTAAACTAGCTAAAACAGCTGAAAAAAAAATACACAGACTTCAAGGCACATAAGATCTTGAGATCAGATACTTCTTTAGATCCTAAGAAGGATGGTGTGCCTGAAAGCTTGCATCCATCTTCTAGATGCAAGAGTTGATCTAATATATTACTTCATTCCATGACTCTTGTTTAAGTCTTTAGACCAACACAACTACAGCAAGACTACCACTGACCCATTGTTGGCAAGCTTACATTTTAAAATCTGTTATATTTGAAGATATCATGCCTCTGTTAAATGTGCTGCAGTGTTTAACTACCTTCCCTATTAAAAAAAACCCAAACAAACAACCTTCTAATGTCTAATCTACTTTTCTTTTACTGGTACTTATATAACTTTTTTTTTTTTTTTTTTCCCCTGCACACAGGCAGGAATTAAGAGTAGTTTCTCCCCGCAGCAATGCCTCACATATCTAAAGATTGTTACATTTTTTCTCAGTTTTCTTTTCAGACTGTACAACTTCAGAACTCTCTCTTTTACTCCCAGTCATTTTTAGAACCTCTGCAATCATCCTTGTTGCTGTTCTCTGGACACTCTTCAGACTGTCTTTGTGGTCAGTGTGCAGTTATCAAAATCACTCTGTAGGCAAAAGTTAAATAAAATGTTGTTCTAAAAGTTCAGATTGTGGCTACTTTGTTTTCATGGTATGGTTTCAACAGTCCTACATTCTATCTGATTCAGACCAGCGCATTGTTTTCAGCCAAGGATGTGAGTGCCTAAGGGTACAAAGTTTAAGCAGGTATATATGGTCTTTGGCAAGGCCTACTCTCATTCCTGTGCTGAGCTGTTTGGGGAAAGCACATGAACATTATTTCCAGTAAAACAAATCCATGAAGTTAACAAATGTGAGGTCAATCGCATTGGCAGCAAACTGCATTAGAAATCAATTCATCGCATTTTGCATGTTGTGTTCAAAGCTTTCTATCAGCATGAGCAAATGAAACCTCATGACAGCCCAGAGAGCTAAGAAAAAATTATCATTTTCATCTTTGACGCAAGGAAGTACAGAACAGAAGTTGCTAAAGGCCATACAGTAAATCAGAGACAGAATATGAAACTTGGACTCCTAATTCCCATCTCTGTACTAAGCCTACCAGATCACACTGGCTTAACATGGATGGAATTTAGATGAACTCCAGTACCTGCTATTCCTCAGAGAAACAGAAAAGACTATGCCCCTTGCTACTCTGGGAGTAGCAGTATACAGGAAAGCCCACGTACAGAAAGATGATCTGAATTCCTTTGAATTCTAATCAACGGGGGCAAGAGACACCTGAAAGGTGAAAAAAATAATAATTTACAAGCATAGAAATGCAAGATAATTGGTTAAGTAAGATTTTTCTGTTTATGTTTGTTTCCCCTTTTGACCTCCTCTATTTTTTTGCAGCATAGACCATAGGACACATAGCATAAAGGCATCTTAATTACCGTTTACATACTACCATAATAATTAAGTATGCCAGAAACTTATACCATGTATGTGTAAAAAAAAGAAAGTTTGTGTAAAAAAGCCTCTGAAGTATTTTAAAAAAAGGTCAGCTTTCCCCCCACCCCTCGCTGCCCTCTGCTGGTTGCAGTATTGTTTTACAAGCTGCACAAGCACTGACAGTATTTTCTTCCAGTGCAAGGCTGAAGTGAGCTGTGAGGATTTGCTACAAGTGATCTGAATGGGACGGAATGGTATAAATGACAGAAAGTTAGTTCAGTATATTCCTTCCAGACGCGATCTCTTTCTGAGTCTACTACAGGACAAGGTTATTCAGCAGTCTGGGACAACAGCTTCACTGATAATACCAACGATCTCACAGATCATCACGAAAGATGCCCTAGCCTGTGTTAAACGACTGTTACTTTATAGGTGTGCAAAATCGTTTGCCTATGCCACTGAATAGATTGTAACTAGTTAAGTTTCAGAACAGAAGAATTTTGTACACTGTCCACTCTCCTTTAAATATGCATTTTCTTCTCCGGTGGTTCTATAGAGAGGAGGAGGCACTCAGCTCAGCTCCGGTTTAAAGCCTAAAGAAACGTGCTAGAGAAAGGAAGCTCCGTGGAGTGAGAAATGCCATCTACCTACACATACTGACATAGCAGAGAGCCGTGGCTTTCCACTCAGCTTGGAGAAGAGAAGCAAGGATGAAGGGTAGTAAAGATTCTCAACTGGGAGTGAATTTTACCAAAAAGTACTCCAAAACCATAAAACAGATGAGACCAGTACCAGCCTTCCTAAAAAACTTGGGAGACGCCACAGAGTTAACAGGATATTTGTTTAGTTAGGACACAGTGTAGTGGCTCAAATGGAGCTCTTCCCACCTCTGCTAAAAAAATCTGTGAAACAGTAAGAACAGATCTGAATAAAACCTCGATTTAACATTATATGCAAATTTTCTATGCAACCCTTGATGTTCTCAGCGATAAATAGGAATGAGGAAGAAAGTGGGGGAAATGGTATTAACATAGGCATTGAAATAGAGAGGATCAGAATTTAAAAAAAAAGGAAACGAGAAACATACTCCTACTGGGCATGATTTTCCTGACTGCTGGAAACCTAATTACCTGCCCAGTGTAATTTCTTATTTTCTGTATTTTAGTTTTTATTTTATAAAAACTCTCAAAGTTAATAACTTTTCTGAAAATGAATACATGCAGGCCAGCTTTCACAAAGAGCAGCCGTTTTTCCAACGGTTATTAATTCGACTCTTGTAAATCTGCCCCACCGCCGACGCTTTCATTTTCTTCCGCCAGAATCAAGTTTTAAGCAAAACGATTGCTATTCCTAACTCTGCCACAGAGTGTCAGTGAAGGCTCGGAAACGAGCTTGCGTGGTCAGGCTGCCAGCGTGGAAAAACTTGCGGAGCCTTTTCCCAAGCGAGGACAAAGAAAGCGACAATGAAGCGTGTTTCAGAACCCATCCTCCAAACATCCACGACCTCCCGCCCCCCCCATAGTCTCACAGGCAAGCCCGAGGAAGGACTAAACATAACAAATTCAAATCAATAATGTAAGACCGACGCTATTAGAAGTCCAAGAAAGATTCATATACCTCATTATATTCCTGAAGAAAAAAAACCCTCTCAAATATGACAGTACAATGAAGTTGGTATTTTTCATGCACACATTTAATCCCTATTGGTTTAGTGTCCTGAGGCATTTTAATTGGAGTCTGTAATGCCATCTACTCAATTAGCATAGCTTATTGTATCTCAAGCTGAATATGAAAACAATAGAAAGGCTCCAGCTGGTATAAAATGCAGCTGCTTGTCTCCTGGAAGATTTATGCTGTTTTGAGCATATTAAAGGTGGTGCTGCAGCCCTTCTGCTGGTGGACTGCTGGTTCAGCTGTCAATTTGGTTTTTACATGTCAACCCCAAATCATTCCCCTAACACTCCAGAAGTCTTTTCAACCTCTTGTTCATAATGGGTCATCTTCCAGTGTGACATCTTGGACAAAACAGAAACATAATATTCACAACCAGCAGTACCTGACATTTATATAAATGAATGATACTACCTCTTACCTCATTTTTGGTGAATAATAAATCCCAGATGGATGTAAACAAAGAATTATCTTTTTTTTTTTCAAACTAAATTGCGGTAATTTTGTTTTGCTTTGGTAGTTCAGTATCACAATTGTCTGACTAATATATCATAATATGGCCATCCAGCAATCATTTGGAAGTGATGCTGTGATTATAAGCACTGGTCATCAGCATCTCCAAATGCATGAAGAAGAAAGCTTCTAAAGACCTTTATGTCTTCATGACATATTACAATCAGTGATAAAAAAAAAATATGTTAAATAGATTTGAGTTATACAGTATTTATTCTCTATCTCCTAGTCCCCCCCCCCCAAAAAAAAAAAAAAAAAAAAAAAAAAAAAAAAAAAATCCACCTAGTAAGGAATTGGTTCTCCTTATGGCATTCTTTCCCTCATTCTTTCCTAGTGATGCCACTACCCACTGTGAATCAAGGTCTGGGTGGTGGGGTGCCAAGCAACATGGTCATGTTGAAAGGAAGGCTGAGTAGAGACAGGCTACCAAACGGGAGTTACGAGAGCTAGAGCCCCTGTGGAAACACTGAATCAATGCATACTGTTGGAAGGAAAAATGCTGTCATTGAAACTACTTTCATTATGAACAATTCCTTATTGAGGACTCTTCTGCTTTGAGTCGAAAAATTAGGTGCCTGTGACTAAGCTTATTTTATTTGTTTTAGGAAGGTTTTCCATGAGTCTTTCAATAACCTTATTGATGATCTTGATTAAGGGGTGAGAAGTACTTTAACTAAATTGTAGAAGATATTTAATTAGGGTTTTTTGAAACCACCAGTGAGAACAAAAGAACTAAAACAAAGCAATCTCTTCTGTGAATAGGAAGATGATACCTACTTCCTAGGCTGTCCATCTCTTACCAACTATTAAGCTCTAAACTCACAGATTACATCATTTTTTATATAACTAATCTTATCTGAAAAAAGGAGTACAACTTAAGATCAAGTTTAATTTGAAAAAGTAATAGAAAGAATGACACAACGACACTTTTTACACAATGGAAATAATAAAACAGATAAAGAAATAAAGGAAATAATGAAAAAGTTCCTACAGCTGGTAATAGCACCCAGCAGATGAGAACTGTCCTTGAATATGTGATGTGATAGCTGAAAAGATGGACAATATTCTCGGCTGCACACAAAAAGGAATTACATTGCTCACCAGTGAGGTGATAGCTCCTCAACAACAGGACACACTAGATGTGTCAACAAATTTGAAGAGAAGCATGACAAAAAGAGTGGTTAAGCCATGCTTCCTATATATCACACATAAACAAGTATGTATGTGTAGGTGCCACCACTTTTTTTATAGTAAAACTCTAGGAAAAGTACTGAAACTTTAAGAAATATAGCTGCATAATACAGAACATATGAAATCTTAAAGTATTTTGTTGAATAACAGCTTCACTGAAATGTACTAATAGCAAACAGACTCCCACAAAAGACACATTCTACATAAATAAAACACATATACAGCAACTAGCTTGCTTGCAGAAATATATTTTCTGAGATGCTTTCTAGCTACCAAGTGCTCTACTGTACTCAGGCTTTTAAAGGGACTTATGAGTCGGGTGTTGTGGGTCACTCATGTTCTCCAACCCGCTTCTATATTTTTTGTACTGCCTCATTATTATGGCACTAGAGAGAATACAAGAATTAAATTCTGCTTGCTGGAAGCTTATCTCTACAGATTACAATTGGGAGTAATAGCACAGCCATCTAATTGGCACAGGATTCATTTGCTAACTTGGTTACATTACATAACCTTAGACAATTAACAGTCACATGGAAATGGGAGTTATTACCAGAAGATCAGATACGGTATAAAGACAGACTACCAAAAATGCCAGGTTTGGTCAGGTCTGGAGGAAGCAAAAAGTACTGTCACACAGTTTCCTGAGCTAACTGTACTGACCAAGACAGAGATTGATTTTAAACTCTCCCACCACACACACATAAACACACAAATCATTACAAGTCTTAACTGGCAACTCCAGCCATTTCTTCAGAGCTGGCTATACTGAATGACCAGTTATTTCATAATTACATTTGATATACATATTTTTTATCCATAGTAACAATAAAAAGCCTACAAAATCCTTAAACACACTTCATGTTAGAGATGGAAGGACCATAAATGTAACTGTTATACTTCACATGGCACTACAAAGATTTCACACTTCACTACCATTCAATTTAAACCTTCATGACTCATGAAAACCAAAGTATGCTCCACAGCTGAAATGCTGTGCAACTCTGAAACCATATGCTTCAAAATGCATCTGTCAGTGTAAAACGGAGTTGCACTAGGACAAAATCTTCCATGTCCACGTCTGTTTCTAACACAGATGTAAGAATGCCTTTTCATTAGACTACACATAGAAAATAATATGCTAGTGAAATGCTACAGGAAATAGCTTGCAATAGTATACAACTTCTGAATCGATATCATGAATCTGCATCACCAATATAATACTCCCAAAATTGGTCTAAAATCCTTGCAGTCTTACTGCACTGAGAACCAGGAGACAGAGCACAGTTCTGTCAGGGCTGAGTTCACCCCCAGGCTCTGCAACCTCTGCCCAGGGACTAGCTGCCTGTGCTGGAGGCCAGCTCTGGTATGGGGCATCATATAAGATGGTATATAACCCCATCAGGCTGCTGGGAACAGAGCTTTCAGAGAAAGATATGAGACACCTCTTCTGGGGGTCACCTCTTTGCCTAGGAGCTGCATTTAAGATCAGGCTCTCACACTTAGCTCAGGCAAAGACTGCACTGCAAGTATGCACGTGCCTTGCTGATTCTGATTGTAATACTCATGCACTGACTTGACTTTCTAGCTTAACCTCAGACCTGCTTCATCACTATGGATTTGTCTGGTAATTGTTGGGAGGTGACTGAACCCTGGTAAACATCACCAGACCTACCATGCTCTCAGGCACTGTGGGACTGTGTTGGAAAGTAAACTGCCCTACCAGTCTTGCTGCTACCCTCAGCTCCCGGATCTCCTTCCCCTCAGGAACAGTCCACTCTAGTTCTCTGACAAATTCAAGTTGTGAGACATACAGTAAGTAAATCTGCTGCTAATGTCCAAAAAATCAAAGGTTTCACTTGACATCCAACACAGAAAATAAACAACACTTCAAAAACAAAGAAGCATTGCAAAACCTTCTGTTTTTTTAGAAAGATGGCGAGTTTCATTTTATATGGTAATGCCCCAAAGACACTTCTATTTGGAGTGCTTCACTAAGGGAAAGACAGTTAGTGTCTGTTCAGCTCCTGGGAGACTGGGCTTTACTGGTTTTAGTGGTCTTAGAGTTGTGCAGTTGCTGAATAGCTCTGCTGAGTTTCTTTCTTCCATAGACAGATGATTCCTTCCAAACATCACTCACAATATAGAACTAATACTAGGCAGCATATCCTGCCACCATCAAGGCTGCACCTGTTTTGGGTCTAAATAGCAGAGCTAGTGTTCAGAACTATCACTCCAACATCTTTGAGAAAGTATAAAATTAAATGGGATAAGTTCTTTTAAAGTTTCAAATTTATCAGGTGTACATCTTGAAAGTAAAATGAAACAAAACCAAAACCAGCAACAGTAAAGTTTGCTGTTTGCTTCCTAGGTAATACAAACACAAACAATTCAAATACATGCTGGTGGGCTTTCCCTTGCCACCCACCCCATAACATTCTTGCATTACAGGGGAATTCTGACTAACTGGTGATAGTTCTTCTGTAGGAGCTAATGAATAGCTAGCCTAGTTTATAATACATCAGACAAGAGATATTTTATCAGCAGTGCTATAGACAGAAGAAAACTGGATGGCAGAAGAGTCCTAAATTTTTAGTTTCCAAAACGTGCATGTAGCCTCAGAAGCAAGAACAGTAACTGTCAGAAGTAATTACAAATTAAACAGAATATGAGACTCCATATGGAAAGGAATATATTTTTTGTTTCTCTTTCAATACCTTTTAATGGGTTTTGACCCCTGAGACCAAGCACTTGTTCAGATTCCAGTCCTCCTTCATCACTGAATGAATTCACAGCAGAACTATTGTCCTTTGGAATGCTGTTGGAATACAAGTAGCCAAACTGCTTGTTATTTTACTCTGACTGAAAAATGTACTATCCAAGTACATTCATTTTATTCAACTATAAAGGCAGCCTCCAGGCAGATGCAACTATCCTTTCTGTTAGAACTCAAATGAAAGTCAACAGAATTTGGATTAATATTCAAGACATTAAGCATCTCTTGAAGCTCACCCTCCTTCAGTCTTGGGCATTGCCCCCTGAACTCTCAGAGTTGGGTTTAATAGGACTGCAGTATTCACAACAGGCAGAATTGCCTTTTGACATTAAGAACAGTAAATGAAAGTGGAACTGTCCCCCCTCTGGACTCTGGGCAGCAAGCATATAGAGTAGAACTAGTTACACATCTGAATATAGGATTCTAGACAGATAAGAGCATAATTTCAAACTAGCTTCATCTTTTAATGATGGTCTTTTGGTGTATCTCACAAGGATGTGCCATGACTCTTTCTTGCCATAATCCCCATATTATGCAAACACTAATGTACTTCAATTGATACTTGAACTCTTACATAAACTGAGCTCATACATTCTATATCTTAGGTAGATGAAATGTATAAATATTGTATCATTTCCTATGTGTTATATTTTAAAAAATAATAAAGCCACTCTAGTTATTATTCATCTAACAGATAAAGGTGACTCTCATGATGGTATTACAAGTAAAGCCCTTTCAGTGCCAGATTCCCCAAGTAATCTGGACAAAAGTAAATTAAATATGCCTCATCTATGGCAATCAAATAGGATTTATGAAGATCATGGCACCATTTAAGAGAATACATGACCCATCCATGTGCATGTATGTCTAGACCTCAGTATTCACCAGATACATTTAGAATTATAACAGAGCTGCATTTGAGACAGTTGCCTATTGACAGGAATTGACTAGGACTCTGATGTTAGAACTACACACAAACCTCTCCAGCCCTAAAAAAAATCAAACTACAATAAGTAGAAATCAGATGAATGCTGTTGAGCTCTGAGTCAGACTGTGAACTCTTTGAGGAAAGGACCACAGCTGGGTTCTGTACAATCTCAGCATAACTAGCAGTTACTGTAAAATAGATAATAAATGAGCTATCCAGAGAAGAGTAATTCTCTGTCAATTAAATTTGGTTTCATTCTGAGTTGGAAAGAAAAACAAATATCACCAAATTGTGTGTGTAAAGAAAGATTCTGAAATGTCTCATGGATGTCCTGCATGGTCTCTTAGCCTTGGAAACCAGCAGTGCTGAGGAATTTCAAGCTGGGTGCTGGCAGGTTGTGTGTGCTCAGGATCTCAGCTCCTGCCAGCTCTGGGAAGGGCTGCCAAGAGGCCCAGCAGCCCAGCTGGTAGGGCACCAGAAGGCCGCTTGTTCTGCCTTCTGTCTTTGGTCAAACCAAGAGATCTCTGCTGTACATTTTGATTTTGATGAATGCACGTTCTCTGAGGGAAACCATTTCATTAGAAAAGTTCTGACCCATGAGAATGAGTAACTTAAATGAGGACCATTTCCATTCTTTACTTGTATAAATGGTGTTAAATCTATGGAGTTCTACATTACTTATTAATCCTTTCTGGTCTTACTCCAGTTATTAACTGCTGCAACTTGTTAGTGTGGAATGATCATGTCAGTAACCAGAGACATACATACATCCTAAAAATACCTTTCCTTCTTTAATTACCTAGTTTCCCATTTAAAAACAATGTTTTTAATGTATTTTTTAAAAAAAAAAAAAAAAGAAAGAAAAGAAGAAGAAACAGGTATTTACTGTACAGTCAACAGACATTCTTCATTAAGAAGTCATATGTTTTGCACTAGCTGTGCAAAGAAGTTGCAAAAGTTTCATTGGCGTGCAGTAGTAAAGAAATCTTTCGGTCTTGTTTGCAAAACAGAAAGTCCTTATCCTCAACATCTACTCTGCTTTTAGTGATAGTGACCAAGTGAAGAAGAGAACAGGACAAAGTATACTGACGGTCATGCCGATTTCAGAGTCTGAATGTTCATGTAAATATGTCCTAAAAATGTCTTCTGTTTCTTCTCAGTGGCTTGCACTGAAATCTCTGGTGAGCAGCCAATGTGGGCACAAATGAGAATCACTGTCATGTAGCACTCAAATGCAGTAATGAAACTTCCATTCAAATGCAGAGACTTGCTAACAGTTTTCATTTTAGCTGGTTTGTGTAGCAGCCCGAACAGGGTATTGTCAATTCTCCTAATTAAATTGAAAACTAAATAGCAATGCAGACCTTGTTATATGCTACTATAAGTAGAATTCCTGCAGTGCAGCTCACTCAAGAGCCCAGTAGATGTCAATGAAAGTTCAAGCTTCTGATTCTACCCTTGGTTTTTAATTGACTGTCAGAATGCTTCAATGTAGTCTATTACTAATATTCCAGGGATGGGATGTGCCTTCCACTTGCACAGATGCTATTGCTGGGACACAATGAGTCTCTTCATCTCATGTGAATGCATAAATCAAAATAAGAGGCAGAAATACAGTTTTTCAGTACCACAAGGGGAAGGGTCTTTCCTGGTTACTTAAATGCTATCTGAATAGGCCATGGACAAAATAGAACCAAAGCACTGACTTCACATGCCACACAAATCCAGCAGCACCAGTCAAACATAAGCAGAGGAACACATTTCATCACTAAAGCATGATACCATAAAGCACGAATAGCCACTAAAACTCTCTTTAGAGCCACTTCTCTGCTTCAAGGTCCATAACTAAATCCCAGATTAACCTTGAATATAAATTTTTCAAGCAGGAAAAAGGGGCTTATGAGAGACTTAAAAATGTGTACTGTTCTCTACCAGATTTTCTGTGGTAGCCAAATAAAGTTTCACAAAAATGTCTTTGGAAAGACCATTAGACCACATCCACTTCTCTCCTCAAAACCACAGGAGCCTGCAATCAGTGCTGTATGAGCTGTCTTGCATAAAGATGAGACAGTGTTCAGCTAACGAGCACCTGCACCTGCAGATCCCACAAACAACTTGCCCATGAAGCAGCAGTTTGAGTGGGTGAGGTCCGTGTTATGCATAAAGGCAGTTTAAAGAGCAAACGGCTCGGGCAGCAGCAGTCAAGTAAAAGGAAAGCAGGGTGGACAGCCACATGCCAGCTTCTATCCCAAGCAACAAGATAACGTACAGAGAAGTCACGGAGGAGCAGCTCTACATCAGCACTGATACTGTCTCTATCTGCAAGTGCACAGACAGAAAAGCTATTCTCCTCCTGGCTTCAGAGGAAAAAAGTGTAAACAGGGCGAGATCTCCTTTAGCTGAAGATTTGACCTTGAATCTTTAAAGGCGGGAGGACAGCCTGGTGGAGGCAAATAGGTAAACACTGGTAATTTTCCTAAAACCGTTTTTGCTCAAGATGAGAGCGAAGGACACTTTTTCTAGTTTGAATACTGCCTCTTTAGGAGGGGTACTATCTTTACACCACCCGTGAAGCCGGCTGCCGAGCAACGAACCAAGCAAACATGCTCAGGCTTCTTAATAGCTCTAATGTAACCTCTTTGGCTAAAAACTCGCTGGTTTCACCAACGTGCACACTGGATGTTTGCAGGCAGCTCACCATTCCAGGAGGGAAAAAAAAAAAAAAAAAAAAAAAAAAAAAAAAAAAAAAAAA